TTAATAAGCAACAAAATAAAGAATTACAATATGATTTGATTGTTTTACCTCTAAGTCTTTATGAGAGATGGACCATTCCACACCAACTTTTCCTGAAAGACAAAAATAAAATTATATTTAATTCATGTGACTATTTGAAATATTCAACATGATGTGAGATATTCAATAGGTGAGATATTCAACATGATGATTACTGCACTTATTGAAACTGCTAACAGATTTTGATGCATTTAAGAAGAAAAACTCGTTCTGTCTTTTTTAAAGGAAAATGATTGACCCACTGACCAAATCTGCTTCCCAAATCTGCCCTGAGTATCAGCACAGCCCAAAAATTGGAGCAGTTATTCTGACACCACACTCTTGTCCTGCCTTGGGGGTTTAAATTCAGATTTAATTCTTTCCTCGTCAGGGGCTGCAGAGGTGGTGATTCCTGCCCTGCACTCGTGTGGATGCCCAGCCCCAGCAGGGATCAGAAATTCATGCACTTTTCCTCCTTTTTACCAAATTTCCTAAATCTGTGGTGTGTCCAGCCCTGCATCCTGATGGATCACCTCAGCCACCAGAGGAGCAGCTCTGCTTCCAAACAGGGTTTGGTAATGTGCAATAAATCAGTGAATAAAACACTGAATTTCCAACTGTCACCCCATAACCTTCTCACACGCGGCCTTTAGGCTGCAGGAGTGAAAACAAACACACCAAAAAAGGGCAAAAAAGATAAAGGAATGGGGATGCAGCCACAGCTTTTTAAAAATTCTGCATTTCAACACTGCTTACTGCTCCTCTGCTCACCTTACCCACACTTGTACAGCAGAGTTACAGCCCCAGTGCAAATTAATTCTGCATTTTTGAACATTTAAAAGTTTGTGAACTTTTCAATGCAAACTGTCCCGTCCCAAACCTCGGAGTCTGAGGCACCCACATTGTTACTAAAAAACATAAATCACAACACCATCGTGATTTACAGACAAAATATCTCCAGTTTTGGTTGTGTTTTCATTTCCATTAGAAAGCGGATGACTACAAATTACAATTATATAATCTATGATTTAATGCCTTCCTCTTCATTTACTGAAAAAGGCAGTAATTTTGACAGATCTGGATACCAGGTGTGTCCCTCAGGTGCTTTACAACACAAAATCTGTTTATTGCTGTTCTTCATTCAACAGTCAGGGCTCACATCCCTGCTCTCACCTCAACAAAACACTCAAATATTTTAATTTTCAATATTTGCTCATGCCAATGACTGTCACTGAGACATTGGGGATGCACTAAATGGA